TGCTCATATGGAAATCCTGGGTAATCGTTAGCTCCCAAAAAGGTAGTTTGGCTAGCAAAAAATTAATATTATCTCTTACTACTCTTGGTAATAAGCTGCTTACCAATTCACAATAACATTATCACCAACACAAACCAATTTATAAGCCTTGTTGCTATTGTGGCTTCCTTCTCTGCCCTAGCAGCAGTGGTTTTAAAGGAACTGCCTGTTGGAATTTATAACAACTGCTCGGTTGTTCATAAAATCACAGATGATTATCAGTAATACATTAATTCACAGAAGACTGCTCACACATTTTCACCAATTTCATGCAAGGATAAGAAAAGAGAATCCCTCCATCGGCAGGTATGGATTCTTCCTAATACCTAACAGACTATAACGGCCACTGGGAAGGATTTTGAATTTGAAAACTGTTTTTGGTGTTAACATGTAAGAATGGGACTTTGGGAATTACAACAAAAAACACGTGGGTTCCCCCCAAAAAACTTTTCCTATTATAACCCCTATGCCCAAGGATAGAAGAGACACCAAGAGCACTGGAACACTTCTTGGTACCAGAGCCCCTGCCCACACCTCCTTCCCTCCAGGTGAGTGGTGTGTTGGTCCCAAATCTCTCCAGGGTCATCACATGGTGCCCCCCTCCACTTCATGCAGTTGCACCCAACCCTCCCCCCCATCTTCAAATGTCCTAACCTCCTGTTTGTTTGCCATCAGCCTTCTCCTTGGTGCTGCCTCACAGAGGGAAGTCCTTCAACATCTCCCAGCCGAAAACCTCTCTCAGAACTCTTGGGCCCCACCTTCCTGCCAGGGACTCCTCTATTACAGCTTCAATATTTCCCTTGCAACCAGAGGGACCAAGCTCCCCCGTGCAACCACACACACACCCAACGGCTTTATCAGTCCCATCCAAGCCCCTGCGTAGCCACAGAAGGTATGTGAGTATGTGAATCTTGCATTCACATCTTCTCATTTACATGTCTGAAGTGACCACCATTCCATTCTCCTTCTACAAGTATCTTATTAGAAAATACTGGTTGGACTAGGTACTGGTACAGAAAAGGAGTAAAAATGTGATTTTATGGGACTCCCTCACCGCTGCCCCCAATACAGACATTCTTAAAGAGAGAATGAGAGAAGAAAATCATCTCCATAAGGTGCTGGAACAACTGTGTTGAAGTGCTTCTCGAAGAGGGGACCAAAAGGGCCCTTTGTGCCTATGAAGTCCTGTAAGTCCGTGAGCAAGTCAGTGAGCCTTGCCCCAAGCTGCAGCTTCGGGATTCACACTGCCAATTGCCTTTCGCTCCCTTTTGATCCACTCTGTCACCCACCAATCCTCTCTGGAGGACCACTAAGTCATCACTCTGGGCCTAAGAAACCTGAAGCACTTCCCCAATGACACATCAAAGACAGGGGGTCTAATGGGCACTGAGGCTCTGACAGCTAGTCCCAGCCTGCCTCTGCACATCGCTCATTCACGTGTGGGAACATCAGTCCCGGCCAATGAGGACTCCATTCAGTCCATCCCAGACAGCATGGGATTCCCTGCCTCTGCGCTTGCTCACATCATTGCCACTGTCAACCTAAGACCACTAAACGTGGCTGTTCAGCACACCAACTGTGAAGTTATATACGGTAGCCCTATCTATCCCCATCAATACACTTCCTGTTTTAGGGGATTAGAAGTGATTTTTAAAAAGTCTTTTCTGGACATCCAGATGGCCAAGAGATACATTAAAAATGCTCAACATCACTCGGCATCAGGGAAATACAAATCAAACCACAATAAGGTATCACCTCACACCAGTCAGATGGCTAAAATTAACCAGTCAGGAAACAACAGACGTTGGAGAGGATGCACAGAAAGGGGAACCCTCCTACACTGTTCGTGGGAATGCAAGCTGGTGCAGCCACTCTGGAAAACAGCATGGAGGTTCCTCAAAAGTTGAAAACAGGGGCGCCTGGGTGGCTCAGTGGGTTAAAGCCTCTGCCTTCGGCTCAGGTCATGATCCCAGTGTCCTGGGATCGAGCCCCACATCGGGCTCTCTACTCCATGGGGAGCCTGCTTTGCTTCCTCCTCTCTCTCTCTGCCTGCCTCTCTCTGCCTACTTGTGATCTCTGTCTGTCAAATGAATAAATAAAATCTTAAAAAAATAAAAAAAATAAATAAACACAAAATTGGCAAAGCTTATTTAAAAAAAAAAAAAAAGTTGAAAACAGAGCTACCCTACAACCCAGCAATCTCACTACTGGGTATTTACCGTAAAGATACAAATGTAGTGATTCGAAGGGGCACGTGCACCTGAATGTTTATAGTAGCAATGTCCACAACAGCCAAACTATGGAAAGAACCTAAATGTCCATCAACAGATGAATGGATAAAAAAGATGTGTGGTGTGTGTGTGTGTGTGTACATACATATGTATATATGTATGTATGTACACACACACACACACACACACACACACACACACAATGGAATACCATGCAGCCATCAAAAGAAATGAGATCTTGCCATTTGCATTGATTTTATATCCTGACACTTTACTGAATTCCGGTCCTCAATTTCTTTCATGAGGCCATTTGCAATGACGTGGATGGAACTAGAGGGTATTATGCTGAGCGAAATAAGTCAGAGAAAAACAATTATCATATGATCTCCCGGATGTGAGGAATTTGGAAGGCAGAGCTGGGGGTTTTGGGGGGTAGGGAAGGAAAAAATGAAACAAGATGGGATCGGGAGGGAGACAAACCATAAGAGACTCTTAATCTCACAAAACTGAGGATTGCTGGGGGGTGGGGGGTAGGGAGAGAGTGGCTGGGTTATGGACACTGGGGAGGGTATGTGCTATGGTAAGTGCTGTGAAGTGTGTAAGCTTGATGATCCACAGACCTGTATCCTTGGGGCAAATAACACATTATATGTTAATAAAAATAATTAATAAATTAAAAGTCTTTTCTGCATCTTCCACAATGGACATGCATTACACACCTAAAAACTAAAGGAAAACATTTGCATATGGGACAACAAATCCATTCTACTCTTCAGAATCACCTAACCTGAGGCAATTTTCTCCAAGAAGCCTTTTCATCGAAAAGCAATTTGTGTTCCTCCTTGTTCTTAAGGCCCTTGACTGTTTTTTGACGTTAAACACAAACCTGCCTGTACCCACAGTTGTACTTTTCTCTCTCCCTCATCCTTATTATGTGTCAGGCATTGTATGAGGAGCTTTACCATGTTGTTTCATTTGTGGTCACTGAGAACCTATGAGGTTGCTATTACCATTCTGACATTGTAACAAAGGAAGCTGAGGTTGGAAAACTTGCTCAGGGCAAATGAACAACTTAGGGTTCTTGCCAGTTTAAATTTAAATCCAGTCTAGTTTGGCTTCAAAATCCTGAACTCCAAAATACTTGGCAATTGATTAACTGCATTTTCCAATACTAACCTCTATGACTCTTTATCAGGAAGATAGTATCTTATTCAGCTTTGTTCTCACTTTAGAGCCTACCCAGGGCTTCACTCAGAATCAGACACTCAGAAAGCCTTTTTCTGGTTACATAAAAAAATCGATTCCTATGGGAAAACATAGTGGGATGTTGATATGATGGCATGCCTCTTAAAATAACTGTTGTCCCAACAACAAGCCTTTTTAAGTTTTAGCCTTAAAATGAATCTCAAAGCTATGCTGTCTCCTCAACTCTAGGGCCCCACATTAGCCTTAGTCTGTTACCATGTCTTGCACCTTGAACTCTTCCCAGCTTCTATCCTTCTCCTACAATTTATTCTCTGCAAATTCACCAGTGAGGTGGACCTGTGTTACTTACTTTCTTATAGAATAAGCCCTACAGTGCCTCCAAGCTGCTTCTTACTCTGCCCTTCAAGGCTGTGCATGATCAGGGTCCGGTCCCTGCCCACAAGGGCAGACCTCTCTAGTCTCTACTTCCATCCACTAACTACCCTCAACCTACGGCGGTCAGCTGTACACCAGCTCTTCCCTCCGTGTAAGAATGCACTTATTCTAGATTGCCACACGGGTGGCTCCATTCCATCACTTACAGCTCAGGTCACCAGGGTCACCTCCTCAGAAGCTTTGCTTAAACACTCTATCTATAGAAGGATCCCGTTTTTATTCTGTCTCAAGCTTGCATCTGTAGTAACGAGGACAATGAGGAATCAACTCACAGTTGTTTAAAAAGTACGTCTAGTTAGTTCTGCCTATCTCTTAAGCTAGGTTGTAAACTCCAAGGAGGTAAGTAAGGATCATACTATACACATCCTCATGCCTGAAATAAGGTGTTGCCCTCAAATACTTCTGAGCTATTACTGAACCCAACTGGGTATAAAACTATGTCTTTAGGTGCCATTATGACAAAGCAAAACCATCTTATTTGGATTCTTCCATGATCAAACACCCAGACACCAGGCTTGGAGCCTAGAAGCCCAGGGATGGCTCAGGGGTTCATGAAATCTCTAAAGACACATTGCTTCATTTCTAAGTACACGTGCGTTTTAATGGAAAAGATGTGATAGTTTCATCATATTCACAAACCGAACATAATGTCAAGCTGGATTTAGAACTTCTGAACTTGGAAGTTTCAAAATCACATTTCCTTTAAGAAGATATGTATCCACACTGTGTATACATAATTTTACCAACCACTAAATTCACAACCATGAGGTCTAGAAGGAAATAAACCTTTCACTATGCTGACTCAATATTTCAAAAGAGATTTTATAAAATATATTTTCCTTGTGTAATTTCAATAAATTAGAAAATACACATCACTTTTAATAAAATTCAGAAAACACACATCACTTTTAATAAAATTCAGAAAACACCCAACATCTAATAGGCATTAACCCATTCGATGAATTAGAAAGCCTAGCTCCTGACAGAGGGAGGAATATTATAGCCTATCCATGCTGTCACTGGCCTTCAGTTTAATCCTGCTTTACCTTTTACCCTCTAATAATGATTTTTAAATGGTTAAGCACTTACCGTAATGTGATTGAAATGCCTGCGGTTTGACAACCTGATTACAGTCGTTACACACCACCAAGTAGAAATCATCGTGGGCTGGACACAGACCAAATATTGGCATGTCTGCAACAAAGAAAGAGAGTATCACTCATCTGGTTCTGATTAATATGAAACCATTTAGCTAGCAATACTTTCTAAAGCTGTTGCCTAAGATGAAGTACACCAGTTCAAATACTACTCCAGTGACATTTAAAAGTAACTGATGTGCCACCATAACTATTAAGAGAGAAATCAAATCAGGCTTACAGAAACACTGTTCAGAAAGTTAAAATAAAACACACCAAAAATCATCAGTATGAGGTGAAAGAGACAAATCTATTAAAATGCAAACAATGAATACACTCACACAATAAAGCAACTTTAGATGAACTCCACCAAGGGTTATGGGTAAGAATCTGTACCACATAAAATGCTTAGCAATTCATAAAGCTGTATCATCTAATGGTTTTGTTTAACTATGCATCCTATTCCAGCCATCTGGTTTCTGAGTTCTATGGAACCGTTAAGAAAGGAAGCAAAGGTTTCAATGAAGAGTAAAACTGCTGGTCTGGTCAGCATGTAATACCAAAAAAATTATTTTTATACTCTTTTTCAGGTCACAAGAACCTCTAGTCCTTTTGCTCACATACTGATGTCCCTGAACTCATGGAACTTTGGTACAAACACAGTATTTCACACATTAATCTCAGTTCAGTTACTAGAATAGGGCAAGATACAAGTTAATTAAAACACAAATGTAAAACTAAACTATCTGCATGTACACAGAAACTGAGTGTGACTTCATATTTGGTAATATGTGGTTAACTAAAAAGTCCTAACCATGAATAATTACTTAAAAATAATCTAGGTAGGGAACAGTGCTAACATTTCAGATTCAGAATCTAATCTCTTAAATATTTCAAAATTGGTGAATTTAGGGGTGCCTGGCTGCCTGAGTCAGTAGAGCATGGGACCCTTGGTTTCTGGGTCGTGAATTCAAGCCCCACATTGGCACAGAGATTTAAAAGAAAAAAAAAGACAATTGCTGATTTTAAGTATTGCACACTATCTAGAATATCTGCAATGAATGGATAATTAGCACATTTCAATTAGACAAATAGTTTAGTAGACCAAATACCAAGTTTAAAGGGGAAAAAAGATCCAAAACTAATTGGCATCTGTTTTCTTTCCTGTAAGATCTGATTTCACGTTTTCTCCAGCTTGGGTGATCATGGTAGTTTTACAGGAAAAAGAAAATGCCCTGAGGAGATGTAAAGTGATCATAGTCTCAAAGCATCAAATGACTGATCTAATATCTACACATGGATATAGCTCAGATTTTCTTAAACAGTTTCTATTACACTGAACTGCACAGATTGCAGGCTATAAATCTGAAATATACCAGGGACCAACAAGCTTCTGGGACACAATGGCAGCACTGAGCAGTTTCTAGGTGCTATGATCTTGTTCTTTTCTCACAACTACCTAGGTCGATACCATTACAACCCCTCTAAAAAGGAGGAAACTGATTCACAGAGAGATGAAGTACTTTGTCTACGTCAGTAGCCGGGATTCCATTCTGACTCACAACAATGGCTTGGATCTGGTCCCTTGAAGATCAGAGGAACGTGATTTCTAGAAATTCCTTCCAGTTTCCACCTCCATTAAGTTGGAATGTCAGAGCTGAACACCTCTGATAAACTGATTAGATAATGCAAGAAGCTTCTAGCAGACTACGACTTCTGTGACTAAGCTTAATAATTTAATGAAAAATAAGAACCAAACAAGGTGCTATTTTCCTTGAAAGCATGCCCACATTGAGTTAAAAATAGTACATGTAGGAGAAAAGGAAAGGTTATATCCCTGCAATGATCAACACGTAATAAGCCATTTTCCATGGCTACAATTTCTTGACATGACAGTTCATTTTAAAAATAAAATGTAAGTAGTTCCCTTTAAGTTCCATATACCCCTGTGCTAAATGCCTCCAATACAAGACCAATTAAGAAAGAAAATCTGAATTACAGAACACAGCATTCATAATTTACAGCTGTGAAGTATGAAATGTCTATAAATATCAAATCAACAGTTTAATTAATGAAATTGACTCAATTAGTTTTATTAATTAAATGGTAGTTAAAACAGCATTAAATTAAGTGGTCTCACTTTAGATTTAGGCGACTGCAATGTGCTGGTTTTGTGTGGTTTCCCACAGCACTCAATGTTAAGCAATGCTGTTTAAAATATATCACTTTCCCAGAAACCAAATACTTTGGGGAACAAGCCCCCTCCCACCCCTTTATAAATAAAACAACTTTAAAAAATTAAGAATTGTACCGATCCTTTCAAGTAATAGCAATTCAACTAGCCACAATAACCTTCATATAGAAAACTGTTCTTTTTTGCTGTGATTCCTTTCTTCCTTTTTCAAGATTCAGAAATACTAGTAAAAATAAGAAGGTAGGGTTCATTCTGTAAGGGACCAGGAATCTATACTTCTGGAAAAACTTCAATTTCCTCAATAACTTAAGACCGTGTGCAATCAATGATGACAGTAATGAGGATGAATAGTTGGTCCTTACTGAGAGACAGCTATGTACCAGGCCCTGAGCTAAAGACTTTATATATGGTCTATCCTACAATAAAATCCTCATTTTACTGATAGAGACATAAACTTGTCCACTATCACCCACCAAGAAAGCATAACCAGGACTCAAAATCAGGTGTGCTCCATGAGCTCAGTTCTTAATATCTCACCAGCGTATCACACTCCCTAAAAAGCCTGCCTGGGTGCGTGCGTGCGTGCGTGTTGTGTTGTGTTCACACACGTGCACGATACACACACACAATCCCCGTGGAAGGAAACATGGTACACTTAAATCCAATTCATGCTACCCTCAGAAATCAGGTTCCAGTTATGAAAATCTAAAGCAACTTTAATTTTAGCTTTCTAAATTCTTTACTTTCAGAGAACCATATTTGGAAGTAAGCTAGAAGATACAAAATAATTTCAATAAAATGTCTTCAGGAGAAAAAAAAAAAAAAGAGTTCTATATCCTTTTTCTGTACTGGGACATTCCAGAGGCCTTAGCAACAGGAACAGAATGTGGAATGTTGTGGCAACAGAGAAAATGAAATTTTTGTGAGAGACAGTATGTATGTTTCTGAATATTTTTAAAGCATAAGTTTATAATCAGCCTATCTACAAATTAACATAAAAAAATTGCCCAAATGCAAGGAGGTAAAAGACTGAATTACTCTGGAAAAAAAAAAAAGAAATAGAATTGATAAAAATTAGTTATTATTGAATTTTTTTTAAAGTTCATAAAATATACTGTAAACATACAACTTAGACTATTATATACTTCAAAATAATGAGAAGTTTTTAAATTGTACCTGGCTCCAGGGACTCTGAAGCAGTTTGAAAGAATGGATTTTATTGTGTGTAAGCCCTAAATCTTTTTCAGGATTCAGGTCACTCCAATCTTCCAGTTAGCAAGTAGCCCAGCACCCACATCTAGGCCATCATGTACTTTGGAGACCCCAGGCCAACACACTGGGAAGGGCTGGGTTTAAGCACATGGACACATGAGCATGTGTGCAGAACCTCCACAGGCAAACGTAGAATGAAGGCTCTTTGCCGAAACCCAGACCCTAAGCAGGAGGGAATGTATTCAGTTACTTTGGTGCTACTATCTCCATTCTGAGAACTGAGTCCAACAATAGAACATGTGTTTTGTAAACAAAGCATTCTACCTTTGCAGTACACTGGGTGTCCCCCTTCTCCCATGCTCCCCAATCCCCACATGCCAAAGACTCCCACATTTCCGTCTCTAGCCCAGATGGCTCCTGGGCTCTGTCTAGACTCATATATCCAACTGCCTACTAGACACTGCCATCTGGACGTCTTGTATACATCTCAAAAGGAAGAAGCATGTCCAATAGAACTCCACTTTCCACCCTGCCCTGTTCCTGCCCCACAAAACTTTCCCTCTCGTGGGTAAATGACTATCCATTCTCTTTGACTGCTCAAACTAAAAACCCAGGTGTCACCTCTGACTCCCCCTTCCCTCATAATTTTCAGGCCACCAGCATGTCTGCTCGGCTCTACTCTAAAATCTGCATCCACTTCCATCATCTACGCCAGTGCTGTAGAGCTTTCCATCAGTACCTTTCTGACTGGCTCTGGAAGAAGTCCATCTATCAGCTGGTCTACAGTCTCCTCTGCATGGCCGCCAGAGTGACTCTCTGAAGTTCTCCAGCAGATCACATCACTACCATTAACATTTCTCCAGTGGCTTCCCACTCCTCTGGGAATAAAATCTCAGCCCTTACCACAGCCCCCAGGGCCCTGCCAGATATTGATCCACCTCCCTCTCGCTCTGTACCCTGATTCCCTCCCTGCTCCTCTCTCCTTGGCTCACTCTGCTCCGGGCACATGTCCTCCACTCTCTCCTAGATAGACCCAGAAAGCTACTTTCAGTGAGGCTCTGCCCTCTCTCTTCATCAGATGCCTAGTACATTCACACACTGTCAGGTCTGGTTCAGCGGTCTTCCTGTCAAAGGGCTCCCCCTCTTCCGGCCCCCCAATTAGTTACTCTCCATCACAAATATCATTAGCAGAGTGGCTAACAGAGAGGATCACTCCCACCACTCTGAATCCAGTATGTCCTTAGGCAAGTCTATAAGCTCTTTGAACTTCAGTTTCTTCATGAGTCAAACGGTAATGATAAACAGTACCTAATTTACTGGGCACTTCACAAGACTGAAAGATTAAGAGGGTTAATATAGGGCACCTGGGTGGCTCAGTCAGTTAAGTGTCTGCCTTCAGCTCAGGTCATGATCCCGGGGTCCTGGAATCAAGTCCTGTATCAGGCTCCCTGCTCAGCGGGGGCTTTGCTTCTTCCTCTCCCTCTGCCCCTCCCCCTGCTAATGCACTTGCACTCTCTAATAAATAAATAAAATCCTTAAAAAAAAAAAAAACAGTTAATACATGCAAAGCTCTAGGAGACCTTAGATAGCACTCAAGCAACAGACCCCTTCCCAGCCTGTGAGATAGGAGTCACACACCCACACTACTGCTC